ATGTACAAATGCGCTTTACACAATTGATGTGTGTATGGATTGCGATAACAGTTGTATGAGCCCCTAATAAAATGTTTAAAAACAAAACAAAACTAAAACTTATTACCGTATATAGTCATGTATAAGATGAGTTTTTCAGCACATTTTTTGAATCTACATTCAACATCTTCAGGTGAACCAGCTTTTATTTATTTATTTATTTTTAAAAATTATTTTATTGGGGGCTCATACAACTCTTATCACAATCCATACATACGTCAATTGTGTAAAGCACACTTATACATTCATTGCCCTCATCATTGCCCTCAAAACATTTGCTTTCTGCTTGGGCTCTTGGAATCAGCTCCTCATTTTTCTTTTTTTTCCCCCTCCCTCTCTGCTCCCCCCTCCCTCATGAACCCTTGATAATTTATAAATTATTATTATTTTATCATATCTTACACTACCCGGCGTCTCCCTTCACCCACTTTTCTGTTGTCCATTCCCCAGGGAGGAGGTTATACGTAGATCCTTGTAATCAGTTCCCCCTTTCTAACCCCCCTTCCCTCCACCTTCCCAGTATCACCACTCTCACACTACTGGTCCTGAGGGGTTCATCTGTCCTGGAGTCCCTGTGTTTCCAGTTCCTATCTGTACCACTGTACATCCTCTGGTCTAACCAGGTTTGTAAGGTAGAATTGGGATCATGATAGTGGGCGGGGAGGAAGTATTTAAGAACTAGATGAAAGTTGTGTGTTTCACCGATGCTACACTGCACCCTGAGTGACTCAACTCCTCCCAACTACCTCTCTGCAAGGGATGTCCAATTTTCTACAGATGTCAGCACATTTTTAATGCAGTTTTTTTTGGTAAATTTAGGTGCCTCGGCTGATATTCAGGTCGGCTTATACTCGAGTATATAGTTATATTAAAAATTTGAGGTTCACCTATTCAAGGATTTCTAATAAAGGGTTACTATTTTGTGACGTACATTAAAGCGATATTATTATTACTTTATTTATTCTGATAATGATGTTTAGTGTATTTGGAAATGTGCCTTTAATGTTTTATTGTCTCAGTTATTGTCCGGTTAAGTTACAAAAACAATTTTGTTATGATGATGAGTATTATGTAGAAATGATCACATCACACTCAACTTTCAAATTATGTCATCACATAACTGCCAAACCGCTGAGAATTATGGTCTAGCCAAAGTCGACACATAACTTTAACCATCACAGTCAGTGTTATTCATGGTCTTGCACTGACTGCTCATTGCTGTCAGATGTGTTACTATTGTGCAAAATAATCAGATAATAGATTTGTTTTTAATGGTCCTCATAAATGTGAGATGGCAGGTGAGTAGGTGTATAAGTGAGGAGTTGGTGTATGCTACCTACTAAGACAAACTGACTAACTTATGGTTGATGTCTACTATACCTCAAATGAAAAAAGCAAAGTAGGTTATTCTGCTTCCCGTTCAAAGTAGAAACCAGTTGAGAGCACTGGAATTTTTTTTCAGTGGATGATGAATCACTCTGAAAACCTTGTGTAGTTAGGTATATATTGCTTGTAATGTCAGAAACTGCACTGGGATCAGGCATATATCTATAGAATCATGCAGAACGCATTTATTGACTTTTATATACTAGAGAGTACTGACAGTAAAAAGCTACTGCCCTTCTCAGGTTTACATATAAATAGTCTATGATTATGTAAAGGAACTAGAACATCAAGTGGTTTTTATATTATGTAGAGCTTCTTTTTGTCTGTATAGTTGTTACGATTTATGAAAACAGAGGCTTTGTGATTTTTTTCTAAGAGATGAAGTCTATTGCTATGAAGATTACATACTTAAGAATAATCTAACCATTTGAGATCAAAAGGGCAGTATTTGCTCAAGTGTAGAGTTCAGAACTCATTAAGGATTAGGAAAGAAGAGTAGAAATAGGAAACACGGGGAGGAAATGGGATGAGTAATGTTGCATTGTGGAGATTGCAGTCAGTGATATGAATTGTTGAATGGAAAACTGATTTGTTTTGTAAACCTCCTAGTTCACAATAAGAAGAAAAAAATGTGTAGTCTCTGCTAAATACAAAATAATTTATGTTGTATATGAAAATTATGAAGCATAATTATACAGAGCACACCTGTAGAATATCTGTTTGCCTAAGAACTGGAATCTAAACATACCTCATATCCATTCATGTATTTCATCTCTCTTCTATTTCTGTGCCTGTCCTCC